TGGGGCAAGTTGTCAAGTCGTATAAGGAAAAGCCAGCAGAAACACTGGGAAAACCTTTGCCCCAAGATTCCAACTACAAACTAGTTGTCGATCACAGGGCCAATGCATGGGTTAAGCTTCAGAACGACTTCATGCAAGATATTCATATGTCAGTTTCTAGCTTTAGAATTCCAATTTGATGTTTTCGAGTCTCTCAACTTTCTTTTGTCTTAACTTGCAGCTTCCACATCATTGATCGTCTCGAAGAATACTTCAAAATGTACTCGGACACTTGCATAAGATCTCCCAACAAGGATTACTACTTGGCCACAAAGACAACGGCAATCTCGTCGTCTCAGACACTCCCAAATTTGAGATCGATGGAAGTTACTACATCGTGCTGACTCAACGTGGAAATGTGTCCAAGTTTTCCAACCCTAAACCGGTGCCAGCACACTGACCATGGAGATAATTTCTTGAGGGTATGGAAAATTGCTGAAGGAAAATGATGACTACATCCTTGAACTTGCTGATGATTCAAAGGTGTTAGTCATCCTATCAATAAACATAACGTAGCCAAATATAATACATGTTTTTGGGGCATCTCTATTGGCATTTGGACGAAGGAAGCATAGGAAGCTAGGGTTTTTACCATAGTTCTTTCTCTTCTTCTTTCTTTCTCCTTATTCTTCTCTCTTTCCTCATGATTCAATCCAGTACAGCTCATGAGATCTGTTTGGATCTCTGGGTTACCATCTGGAGGCATAAGACCACTTGGAGGATATATTAGCTACCTTCAGAACTTAAACTCAATTCCATGTTCAAGAGTTTGTGTTATCATCCAACGAAACTGAGGACAACAAAAATCCAAAGGAACTTTGAAGATAATTTGGAGTGGAGCCATTCCAACTGCTGCTACCAATGACTGCTGCCAGAGAAAAATATCCCACCACAGCAACTTTAGGTGGTATCAAGAGACACAGACGTGATGCTTGTTCCTTGATTTTTCATTTCTAGGTAAGTTTTTTCTTTTTCGGTCTAATATATTTCTTTTTTTCTCGGCAATGATAATCCAACTTCATAGGAGTTGGCACCGCAAGACTATCAAAATAGCATATATATATAAATAGATAGATAGTTTTAGAATCACAACTTGGAACTTGTTCACATTAGTTCTGCAAACTAGTGTAAATCCAAGAAGATTATTTGGAACTTGGGACCACGAAAGTGACTCAGCCTTGTGCTTTAATTTTCCTCTCCGTGCTTCTTACGTTACACGACACGAGTTTCGGTGTTATTTTCTTGGCCCAGCCATTATTTTCTTCCCAGGAAGTTGATAGACAACTGCGAAAGATTGTCCATAGAGTCTTGCTCGTTTGGTCTGAGACGGCTTCCAGAACAAAACTTTGGAGTGATTGCAGCGATGGTTCTCTCTGGATTGGAGGCTCGAGAAGTCTTTGTGACTGCGACTTTCAATGCGCCACTTGTTTTGCTCTAGCTTGATCCATCCTGGAAATTAATACTCGTTTTCCTGGCTTCATGGATTGGAAGGAAAAACAAAAAATTCCAAGCAAGAAAAAAGGAAGAACGAAACTTTGACTTCACATGGCAAGGTATGGTTGACCACATGCCAGTGTCTGATTTGCAATATTCATGAGCTTCGAAAGAAAAAATCTCTTGAAAAAGTTTTGGGGATGCCTGCCTGCCACCGTCATATGTCACCCTCGTGACTCTGAAGTGGAGAAGATTTATAGATCGCATACATTTGGATAGCTATGTATCCTCCTCCCCAAAAGGTCCTAAATTATGAAATTGGGGGATGACACGCAACGCAACTATCAGACTCTCTGATTCATCGTGCTTCAAGGCAAAGTAAAAGGAGGAGAAGTTGTAACAAATTACTAAAAGCACATTTGATATTGGTTACAAATGCTGGGAACCTTGTGAGGTTGGATGGAGTCTGAGCCAAGAGCCGCGGTCCATGCAAAGGCAATCATTGTAGGACTGAATGCTAGCGCACGAAAATCCATAACCTCTCTAGAGGTATCCATGCGTAACTCTCCCTCGAAACTTGGTATCTGACCTCCGAAAGGGCATTTATTTTCCTGCCATATATCTTACCAGAAACACAGCAATTAAAACGCCCATCCCACCGTCCGTCGGCGGCTGGCAATCAAATCGCGGCCCTCTGTTTCATTTTGACTGCCAAGGACCTGGAGACTGGGCCTGGACTGGACTGGACCGAGTCTCTAACCGCCAAATTACGCATACGCGGACACAGTACGCCCAGTATATGTACGTTCAAGCTGTACAAGCAAGTTGAACCTGAAGAGCCAAAGTGAAGTTCAACTTGTGTTCATGAAATTTTACTCATGCACATGCAGTTTTGGTGTGATTTTTTACTCATGTCAACCGAAGCTTTTCAATTCTACTCAAACATTTTCGGATCTGAACAATTTTGGATCGTCCAACCGAAAACAACTTCGCCACCTTTTTTCCTTTCTTTCGCGTTTTCTTGCGATTGAGAGAGAGGCGGATGATCCCCTCACCAAACGGCAATCTTCTGAAACGAACATATGCCCCTTCTCTTTTGTGCTGGACGGCCGCACAGCAATGCCCTCTCAATCAATCCCTGTCATGGGAGGCATAACTACAGAGGCTTTCAGAAGCTTGTCCGCTGCTTTTTGGGTTTCCCTGATTGAATCGATTAAACTATAGCTCCCATGGTTTCTTCTGATCTAGTCTAATTATCAATCACAATGTTATTGTAATGTGTCTACAGTGGTTCTCGCGTATAAAAGGCTCGCGGAAGAAAGCGAAGCGAGAGGCAAGCAAAAAGGGTTTCTTCTCTTTCTCGTTGTCACGTAGTCAAAGGGCTCCTCGAAGAACAAGAGAATTTCTTTTTTTCTTTTTGCTTGCTCTCTTTGGCTTCCATTTGGTGCCATTTAAGATTCGTTGTAGCGGCCTGCCTGCCTAGGAGAAAGAATCTCACCAGTGTGGTGGTCCTGGCCATGGTGGTGTGCTGTATCATCAAATCTCGCCAAATCTTTATAGTCTCGAGCTCGTAGCGAGAGAGAAAAAGAGGAATTTTTGGTTCTTGTAAGGAGTTGCGAAGGCGGTCGGTCAATCAATCACTCGATTCTGGAGTGGTCAGAGATTTATGTTTGATGATTTCTAGCTCGAATGTCCCTGTGGATCTAAATCCTTTAAAGCTGCGACGAAGAGGAAGAGGTGAAAGAGATTGATTGGTTGATCCAAGAACAAGCAAGGGAAGCAAAGAAAGGGAGAGATTTCTCGTCCGATCGATCGAAATGGGCAGCCATAGCCAGCAGCAGCAGCAGCAGAGCCGGCGGCGCCAGATCCCAGCAGCCCCCAGGCGCCAATGCTGCTTCTCCTTCGCGGCCTACGCGCGATCTCTCATGGACCATCTCCGCCGCTGCGGTGTCCGAGTAGAGCCCGGGCTGTCCGAGACGGAGCTCGGCCACCTGGAATCGCAGCTCGGCCTCCTCTTCCCGCCGGACCTCCGCGCCATCCTCACCGAGGGCCTCCCCGCCGGATCGAGCTTCCCGGACTGGCGGCACGAGCCCGCGGCTTCGCTGCGCGCCCGGATCCAGCAGCCCCTCGCGGATCTGTGCGCCCAGGTTCGGCGCAGTCGCTTCTGGTGTGACAAGTGGGGCGATCGGCCCAGCGGCGGCGAGCAAGCGGCGGCCATGGCGGCGGCGGCGCTGGAGAGAGTGGCGCCGCTAGTGCCCGTGTATGGCAATTGCTACATCCCATCCTCGGGCAGCGCTGGCAACCCAGTGCTACTCGTCCAATCGGGCGAGGTCTCGGTGGTCGGGAACGATGTGGCGGATTTCTTCGAGCGCGAGGTCTTCCATGGCGATCAGGAGGAAGATCCCAATTCGCGGCTGCTAGACGAGGAGGACTCGAGCTCCTCGTCCTCGTGCTTGATGGGCTCCATGAAAATGGGGAGATCCAGCGATGGAGGGGACAGGGACAAGATCTCCTCTTCCTCGCTGTGGGGGATGAGGAGCTTGGATTTCGCGTTCCGGAGGAAGAAGGGGATCTCTAGATCCATGGCTGGGACGCGCAGCGCCGAGGTCTCTCCTCGCCCGAGCGTCTCGAGCACCGGGAGCAGCAATGGCGGCGGGGGCAGCGCCGAGCCGCCGCGGCGGAGCTTGGATGTGGTGTCTCGTCGCAAGAATCATCCCAAGGGCGTGGCTCTGGAATCTCTGCTTGGATTCACCATGGCCGCCCCTGCCTGGGCCGCCAAGAAGCCCAAGCACATCGATTTCTGGAGCGATCTCTGCGGCCAAGCGCCCCAGCTCGACGATCCAAAGCCACAGAGCTCGCCCAAAGCGATCGCTCCAAATCTTGGCGCCCAAGTGGTGGTTTCTTCCCCAATTCCATCGATCGGAGCTCTACCAGATCGAGCCAAGAGCCCACAAGTCAATCCATCGATCGCAGCTATGCCACAAGTCAATCCATCGATCGCTGCGCTTCCAGATCGACCTAAGAGCCCGCAAGTCGATCGATCCATTCCAATGCAGAGCGAGCAGCAGCAATGGCTCCATGGATATCTCGACGACATGGCTGGAAGGCTGCGAATTGCGGGGTGGAAGGAGGACGAGATTTGCGAGATGATAGTTCTTCCTCCCATCGACGATCCAGTAGTCTCGCGTTCTTCCTCCAACGCCATCGTTCCCAGTAACAAGCAAAGCCGCCAAGCCGTGATCCAAGGCCTCGTTTTTAAAGTCCAGGAGCTCTCCGACTCGCTCAAGAGATCCGGGTGGAGCGTCCAAGAGGTTGCCGAGGCGTTTAACTCCACCACCTTGTCCTCGTCACCCAAGGTTCTTCCATCCATCGCTGCTCGATAGCTCGGTCTCGCGAAAAATCGTTCTTTTTCTTATCAAAGTTTCTTCCTTTTCTTTCCTCTATCGATTGGTTTTTCTTGCTGCTGCTCAAGCTGGCTGACTTTGCCCAAGCAGCAGCTTCGAAGTGGCTTTAGGTACGTTTTTTTCTTCCGCTTTTTTCTCTCTACCGTTTGTAAAATGTTTGAATGAATACACAAAAGCATGAAATCCAGTCCCTGTCGCGTGAAACGACGTTAGTTTCGATCCCACCACAGAAGAAAAGAATGCTTTTGATAGAAAACAAACTCACCTCCTCCAACGAACACTTCGATAGCAAGCACGCCCACTGCCAAGACTTGTGTCGCGTTCTCAATCTCTGAGAATGATCCAAATGCTTTTTCAGCCTGTGTCACCAGAAAACGTTAACGCTAAAGCCTGCGAGGAGTTTCATTTTCGATGTACCTTGACACCCCCACCGCCACCACGGAACGTTACCGACAACGCCAACGCTGCTACAGGCCGTCGTCCTCTACGCTTGAACTTCCAGCCTTTGCTAAAGTTTTTCTTCTCTCGCACAGTGGAGGCAAATCCTTGCCAGCAGCTTTTGGAGGAAGGAATCTATTGCCTGCTGTCCAATCCAATCCGCAGCAACTGAAGCAGCGATCAGCAACTGAAGCAGCGAAGTGTTAGTATGCGTTGAAATCAAAAGAGCACTCACACACCTGGCGAATAGAAGCTGGCTGGAGCCTCCTACAGTACAGTCGACAACTTTGTTGCATGAACGGACGAGTACGTTAGTACAAACACGGGTAAGAAAGGATGCTTTAGCCGCAGCCAGTGGCAGCAGCCTCGTGCAGCACACCTTTGCTTGCTTTCGCTCAATCGTAGGACCCCTGTGTCTCAGAACATGGCCACCGTAATGATATGCGTGTATGAAGGAAGCCGTCATGCGAGCTTTTGTGGATGACCCCACAAGCAGGAGCTTATCGGCTGGAAGGAAGACAATCCGAGTAAGTTTTAGCAGCAGAAGAGGGAAAAACTCGAGAGGACCATACCATAACTTGCTGGATCAAGTACTTACCTGGCTCAAGGGAAATGAAGAAAAGCCGAGCAGACGCACATCTCCGTCCTTCCAACGTATACGAACAATGCAAAGAGAAAAAGAGAGAAGCCGGTGCAAGAAAGGATATCACTTTCCGTGGAAACCTGTCTGCTGATGCCCGGGGCATGTTGGAGAAGTGATGGAAGGTGAGAGCTGAGCTATCCTGGTTCGAGTTGGAGAGAACAAGACTCGTCAAAGCAACACTTTCAAAGCTTGCAGCAGCAGCCACTGTCGTCATTAACAACAGCGGAGCCAAAAGAGAACGACCGCGTTAGCGTACCCACTATGACGAGGATGAAGATGAGCTATTCTGGTAGATTCTATACGCAGCGATCCAGAGAGTGATGTTGCCAACAAGCGTCAGAGCACCTTGCATCACGACCAACACCTGCAAGAGAAAAAAAACCTCTCGTAAACTTCTCTTAGCACAAGAACACAACGCTTGCGAGAGGACGAGCATACCTCCAGTGATTCGGCATTATAGAAGAAGTGCCAGGTGCAAGCGCATAAAGCTCCACCCAGCAATGGAACCTAAGAAGAAAAAAGAGGAGAAGATTGGCCAAGTTCTCAAGTGTAACTTGGTGAAGAAGAAGAAATGCTTACCATTCCCCACGAAAGGCTCTTCCAAGCTGCATTGTTCTTCGTGTCACCATATTGCCAGACCAGAATCATTGCCACCACCCTTGCAAAAAGAACGAAAACGATGACTTTTTCGCGGATTTTTGCCAAACTTTGATTCTTTTTTTCTCTCTCGAGCTCGACTTACTTACCACTCGACAACACTGGCGACGTGAATGGTCCATGTCGGGAGTGAGAGAGCATTCGCGGGTTCCTCGGACAGGAGCTCGCGAATAAACCCTAGATTGTCCTGCGCCGCGGCAAAAGCCGCGGAAGTGGGCAACAGCATCAATCCCAGCGCTGCGCCGCTGGCCGCCATACATTTGGGCAGCGGCGATGCGGGGGATGGGGTCTCCTTCCCTCGCAACTTGCTACAAACCCTAGGTGGATGGAAGGCGATCCGTGGCGCGCAAAGAGCCATTTACCCCGCTTTTTCTAAGGTTTTCCGATTTTAGGCTTTCCAAGTCTCTTATTTAAACTGTAATCTTGTTGCTGATATAGTGAAGTTAACTGAAACTAGATGTTTGTATAATTTCCAATCAAGACTCCGCATGGCTTTAGGAATTTATCAGCAGAGGAGCTAAATGCACTTCTGGCTTTCAAAATAGGTGTTACAAATCAGCAGCAGTAACCGCACATTTCTGTCATAACAACTCTCTCAAGAATTATGTAGCAACATCACTGGCCATGTTCAAGAGTTTAATTTCTTTAGATGGATGCTTGGGGGAAACCTCAACTCCCTCTTCTCCAGGCTCACACATTTCAGTAACTTCTCTGAGAATGGCATTCAAGTATTCCAATTGAAAGTGTACATGCGGAGATTGGTATATTCAGTACCCATAGTACTAATTGGGGTGGTGAGCCAGAAGCTCCAACGCATGATGAATGTCAAGCAGTAATGCCAACTACTATCAGCAGCAGTAATGTTGTCATGGACATGGAGGTTGTTGTCGCTATTGTGGTCAAGGCCACCATATGCCTTACAATGCTGTATTACCATAGATAGTTGTTGAGGAGGATTGATTTCAGCTGTGTCCTGTGAAAGATGGATCTGGTTTGGAGTGACTGTGTCATTTAGCTCCATAAGAGAGAGTTGGTCCCATGCAAGAAACAAGTCGAGAAGCCCTTTCTCTATCAAGAAACACTCTGAAAAGCTGGATATGGGAGCCTGTACTCTATAAGCCCCGCCATCAAATAAAGAGGGCTTGTCTAGAGGCTCAACCTTACTCTTAAATAAAGAGAGTGAAGTTGAGAGATGTCTCGGGCTACCTGACTCACCTCCAACCATGTCAATTGCATTGCATGAGAAAGTGTAAGTTACAAATTTTTCTTTCCCAATTTGCTAGCTTACCTTGTTTATCCGTCCAACACTGCCTTGGCTTTTGCTAAGTTCCTTTTCCAAGGTTCCCGCCTATGGTACCAGCTCCTACTTGGTCCTACTTGGTTTCAGCTACTCACTGCACGAGCAATGGAGTGTTAGCCATCCATCCACGGATTCCCAAATCTCTCCCAATCCCCCTCCCCGGGTTAAATTGGACTTAAGGTTCAGTTACACTCCCCACAAGCATAAGTAGCCAAGCACACCAAGCTTCCAAGTTCCTAACTTCCCTTGGTACCACAAGACTTGATCATGGGACCCTCTAAATCCTAAGTCTCGGGTGCAACACTTGCTTCGGGACACCGGGGCGAAACACCGTGGCCTAACGGCCCGGTATGGGTACCTCTACCCCCCCACTTCCATCTCGAAGGGAAGGTCCAAGCCCCTAGGAAGGGCGAGGACCAATGAGCTGCATGGTATTCAAGTGGGGCACCACTCCACATGAGCCGGAAGCACTGCAGTCGGTTTCCCTTTCGGGAGTGGGAGCTGCTCTTGAGCACTTCCTTGGATGGTCCCTCTGGCACCAACCAAATCCATGCTCACTCCCACCCAAGGCCCCTCGGTCTCAGTCCCAACCTCAAGTCGGGGGGGGGGGGGGGCTGTGGGGGGTTCCAAATGTATAGTAGGGATAGCGGTTAGAATGCATGTCCAACCATCTGAGACATTAGTTTGGCTCCCGCTAGGCTGTGTCACTCCTTGTTCTACATCTGGCTTGGGTCTAAGCCCAAGCTCCACGCTGCTCTAGTCGGTGGAGTACCCTCCTCCTTGCATTAGGCCACCGGTATGCCAAAATTGTGCTAGACTCCGTCTGACACTATTTTGCATGTAGGTGCTGGATACGGGGAGCTGGTGCTCGTGGGATTGTACCGGACCCTCGTTTGTGGCGCAACGGGCTTGGAGTTTGGCTCCAAATTCAGATGCGCTACACACCAGAACGACAACTTCTTTTTGACATTTACATGACAACAGGTACAGAGGCTTTTGGAGTATGCCTTTGCCAATATTCACAGCCTGGCAAGCCACCACATGCAACATACTATGCATCACATTCATTCAAGGAGACTAAGAAGAAGTACGTGGATGCAGAAAAAGAAGCAGTGGCTGTTGTTTACACCTTGGAGCGATTTCGTCACTTTCTCGTTGGAGCCCGTATCCATTTCCACGTCTATTTTAATGTGCTGACCTTTCTTTTACAGTGACTAGTTCACAGTCCTCGTACTTTATCTTGGATTCTGACCATCCAAGAGTTCTAGCCAACTTTTCACATGCGGCGCAAGCGTGCGATGGATCTGAGCGAGTTCTTGGTTGCTAAAGCTACTTCCTTTGTAGTCCCAGCAGCATTACAGGATATTGCAGTGTACCTGGATTCAAGTCAATTCCCAGCAGATTCCTCACCAGTACAACAAAAGGCATTGGAGATCCGAGCATGGGGGTTTTGCCTTCTCGATAGACACCTTTACAGGAGGACTTCTTAGGAGGTTTTGTTGCGGTGTGTGGGGGAACACGAGGTCCCTGGGCTCCTTCGCACTTTCCACTCTTGTGCGGGGCATTTCTCGGGACGAGTCACAGCATAGCTCCTCTTGCACCATGGCTACTTTTGGCCTCGGATTCACCAGGACAGCCTGGCCTATGCAAAGGCATGTGAGTAGTGCCAACGGTTCACCCCTCAGAGCCATGTTCCACGTCTTCCTTTCCAGCTCATCACTTCTCTAGGTCCTTTTTTTCAGTGGGGACTTGACTTCGTTGGCCCAATCATCCCACTGAGCTCAAAAGGACAATATTACATCATTGTGGCAATGGACTATTTTACAAAATGGGTCGAGGCCACCCCTCTACGATAGGTAGATCAATAGTCTATAGCAAAGTTTATCTACGAGTACGTCATTTGCAGATTCGGAGTTCCTGCTGTTTTGGTTTTCGATTGTGGCAGTGGCTTCCTTGGACAGGTGATGTAGCATCTTCTCCAACAGCTGTAGGTCAAACACGTGAAGAGCAGCAACTATTATCCTGAGTGCAATGGCTAGGCGGAGTCCAGCAACAAGATATTGAAGACAGTCATCTCCAAGCTTGTTGAGGATCACCCCAAGGCATTGGCACGAGCACTTGGTTATGGCGTTGTGGGCTTTTCGGACGTCCTTCAAGACATCCATCTCTGCGACCCCATTCTCCCTTGTCTATGGGATAGAGGCCGTGCTTCCAGTGGAGATCCAAGTGCCATCACTCTCACTTTCACTTCGATACGCAGCAGTGATGTAACTTAGAGATGAGGACAAGGTTCATGCATGTGACTTGGAGGTTCTTGCCTTGGAAGAACAGTGATGATCCATGACTAAACATCTCTTTCGAGGCAAGCAAAAAATCAAGTCAGTCATCGATCACCAACGGTCTGCTAAACCATTCGAGGATGGCAATCTCGTTCTACTCAAGGAGTTTACGCCACCTACAAAGTTCTCCCCTTGCTAGATTGGCCCCTACTTTGACCAGTGACACATCGAAGGTAGAGCATATGTGCTAGTTGATGCTGATGGACGTGAGCTCCCACACGCTCACAACCACTCTCATCTCAAATGCTTCATCCGGTGAGGTGTTCCTTTTCTCTTCTTTTTCTTTTTCTTTTTCTTCCTTTCTTTCACTTTACTTTCATGGCTAGTTTTCTTACTTTCAGAGGGTGTTTCTCCATTGGATTATGGCCCATGCTTTGGATTTCGTGCTCAAACTGCATTGCCGTTTGTATGGAGGTTCCTCACTTGGCCTAGTCTATGTTCCAGGTTCTTTAGCCCTTCCCTTACCATTACTACACCCTACACATTCCCCTCACTCATTCCATATCATCTACACTCACAGTTCCATCACTAATCACTTTCAGCAACATTGCCCACACTTATCTCTAGATGCCTGTCTTGCATCTTTCATTCTTTCACCATCATTCACATCTCCGTTTGAGGTCACATTTACACCATACCATAGACACACATACGTGCACCAATAGCAAAAGACACCACCTCATTTGGACATCCCGTTTTCGAGAGGTCCTTACGACCATTAGCCGACAACGCACTAGATTTTCTGGAGCGACTTTTTTCCAACCGGGTGAACCTGTTCACTCAAGGCACCTAGGTGGATCTTTAGACGAGGCCACAAAAGCCAAAGCCACTTTCTTTTGCTCCAGCACTCAGTGGACACATGCCACCTCTCTTTACCGGCAACCCAGCAACTACACCGTCCTTTTCAATTGCTGACTTCTTCAGTCCGACACATCAGACTAGCCACCTTCTCAGAGTGCCACCCCATCTCAGCACTCCATCATATCACTCCACCATATCAGTGCTGGAGCAGGCGCAGGAGTAGGAGTGAGAGTAGGTGGTTACCGGTTATAGGTCCCTAGTTATTGGTTATTAGTTACTGGTTACCGGCTACTCCGAGAAGTCAACATTTACTATATGGGCCAATAGTTATCAATGGCCACCTTTTCAGAGTGCCACCACCATCTTGGCGCTCCACCATATCACTCCATCTTTCATCAATTCCACACTTACCACCCTTGGACAACACATCCCCTCTTCTACCTCTCTTTTTTTCTCAATTTTGCCAATCCTTGGAGCATACCGAAAGTCATCAATAGGCTGGATTTAAATATTACACTTTCCTGAGCCGAAATCTGGCTACGGGTTAAGTTCTTTGGGTACTCACTTTTTTTTCTTCTATTTTCCTCCTGTTTTCACACTTTTTCTGCACATTTTCTTCAACTTTAGGGCCCAGTTTGACTACAGGGTTTCCCAACGGGTTTTCCTCCCTATCTCCAAACTTCACACCCACCTCTTTTCTTTTTTTTCCATTTTGTTTTCTAGAGTTTCTACTATTTCATGCAGCTACCAGCACTTGGCATCAGTAGTAGACGTACACTCTACACTCTTTGGAGGGTTCTTGCCTGTCTGGAGCTAGCGCAATCCACTGTGGTCGCATGTTTGGGTGTGGCCACTGAGAGAGTGAGAGAGAGAGAGGGAATATTTTGGTCCTTGGAATATTCCCCATCTTCCTTGTATAAAACCCTTGCCCCACAACGGCAGGGGGGGGGGGGG